GGGTCAAGAAACGCAATCGGCCGCTCGTCAACGCGATTTCCGCCGATCCTGCCGGTGCCTCCGCCACCGTTGGGCGCTCACGTCCGCACCCCGCCGCCAAATGCTCCAATGATCCGCAAATATACCACGCACGCCCGGCCGGCGCTGGCGGCCGTACGCACCGCGCCGCAACCGATAACACCGCACCAGGTTCAACCCCGCCAATTGCAACCTCGCTCGTCCGTCGGTGACCGCTCCCGCACCGCTCCTCCGATTCTCCGTCCATCTCGCTCCCGCCGACGACATAACCTCCACTCTCCCGCCGGCCGCCGACCTTACACCACCTCCCCTCCATCTCGCATCCCCGGTCCTTCCGGGTCCCGTCCTCCTGTCCTCGCGCTCGCAAGTGACGCTCTCAAATGCCTCCAGCAACTCCGCTTTTGACTGGAACTTCATGAGATGCGCCTGGTTCCGCAAGTGCACGTCCGTTATGCCCTCGATGAGATAATCGAGGAGCTCGTCCTCAGCCACCGGCACACGATTGGCAAGAATCACCTTCTCGTGATAATAGTCGCAAAACAGCTCGTCTCCTTTCCAAATGCGAGTTTCAAATTTTCTCCGGAGCGTCAATCTTCCTGGGCGCAAATCAAACATTTGCCCCATCTCTGTTAAAAGGTCTACTACGCTTAGCGTCAAATGTTCGGTTCTCGAGTAGAACCACGTCAAAGCGCGTCTCTTCAAACGGGAGCCAATCAAGATTCTCGTTGCATTTTCGTCGAGGTGATAAGTATTTCGCAATAGTTCGAGCTGATTTTTCCACCTCCAAAATGTGTTGTCGCTCGCGTCAAATTCAGGCAGCAGGCCTCTGACGCCTCTAACACTGCCGTTGCTCGACGCCTCCGATGACGTCGATGCGACCGACGCACCGCGAGCCAGCTCCTGCTCTCTTAGCAGAATTTGTCTCTCTCTTTCCCATAACTCTCTTTCTCTTCGCAAGAAAATCAGCTCTGCACGCTCCAGGCTCTCCAATCTTGTGGGCGACGTATCTTCGCGTTCACCTCCCGTCGCAGCGACCCGCTCCCTTTCGTCCTCCACTGCGTCAGCATAACCAGGACTCGATGCTTCTCGCCGTTCGCCCATCGCCGTCTACGCGCCCGAATCGCTGTCGCCGAGTCGCTGAATTAATTCAGCCTTCGCTCCTCCGGTCGGCAGCCCCTTCACCCGCAAGGCCTTCCTCAACTCCGCCACCGTAAAATCGTTACCTCGATGCGCGTTCATACTTTGTCTTTTAAATAGAGCAATCGACACACGAATCCGCGATCCCACTTCTGATATGCTGTTAGCGGGTACAAATGAGAGAGAAAGAATATTAGGTTTAAAGTCACTTTAATTATCTATTTTGACTCTCGCGGCTATAGCTAACGGTGTGTCTGTCGTCGCGCAGCGGCTGCTTATATACGGCAGTAAAATACAACCGATCTTTTCGAAAGGATCGAATCGCGCGAGAGCACGTCTCGGTATCCGTCCTCGGCAGATATTATATCGGCAAACAACAAAAAACAGTAGATACGTGAGCGGGCATGATCCTAACGGTATCTTGTTATGCCGAAAATTCGCTAACACTCGTAAAATATTTATTGTTCGATAATCTTACCGTAATACTTTTATATACAGAATAATGAGACAAATCAATTGGTATAAAAAAAATAATTGTTTTTAAGAAAAAGTATGTAATTATTTATAATGAACCTTATTAAACAATTAATTTTTTTTTACACTAATTGATTTGTCTCATTATTCTGTACATAAAAGTATTACGATAAGATTATTGAAAACTAAATATTTTACGAGATATCTTATTTTTTATGTCAGATTAAGATATAAAATAACTCGAAAAATACTTAATGAAAAAATATTTTATTATAGTGTTTTGAAAAGCTCTCGAGATAAGCTACAAGAATATGCAAAGAAAAATAGAGATTGCCATTTAAGAAATTAAAGAAGACCTTTACGTGACCTTGACGATGCTATTGAAGATCATAATATTGCTATGTAATGCGCCATATGAAATCCTACAACTTTTGTATAAAACATTTTTTTCTGTAACGTAACTCCTCCAAGATTTTAAGGGCTCCTGGTCTTTTTTGGATACTCTGTATACATATACAGGGTGGACCAGTAACTCTTGCCACCTCGAATATTTTCGAGTCTAGAACAGTTACGAAAAATTTTTTCCGGCGGCGGCAATCACTTTGAGCACATTTCATAAGAGTGAGTTTTTATTAATATTAATATTAATATTTTATTAATATTAATTTAACTATTTTTTTATAAATTATTTTATGTTTAATATTAATCGACAGTCTTGTAATTTACTTTCCTAACGTTTTTTGAGCTCCTCTATCGAATTACGCAAAAAAAAAATCGGTCCATTTGAAAAAGTGGAGTTGACCTTGAGAGCTCCGAAGCGCCGCCACCCCAACGAACTGTGTTACCACCACTCGATGGCCCCTTTGAAACTATAAAACTTTTGTAGGAAAAAATTTTTCGTAACTGTTCTAGACTCGAAGATATTTGACGTGGCAAGAGTTACTGGTCCACCCTGTATAATGCATATATACATACATACATTTATACATATACATACATACATACATACATACATACATGCATACATACATACATACATACATACATACATACATACATACATACATACATGCATACATACATACATACATACATACATACATACATACATACATGCATACATACATACATGCATACATACATACATACATACATACATACATACATACATACATACATACATGCATACATACATATACATATACATACATATATACAGGGTGTATCCTAAAAAGTGGGAAGTATTGCAATGAGAGATTCAGGACTCAAAAATAAGAGAAAAAATTCATATAAACATATGTCCAATATGACCTTGTTTCCGAGTTACAGCCTGTTTTATTTTCCAATATTTCCAACTTTTCCGCATACAAAAGTCTAATTCTGACTGCATTATCATCGGAAAATCCGTATATGAAATGTATGTCTGCCATTTAATTGTTTGACCAAGCCATAATTTTTTTAAACGTAGACTATTGCGTTAATAACGCTAACGTACGATACGAATACTTTACTTTCACTGAGCACAAGATACGAACCGTACTACTTACAATACAAATAATACGCGTTTATGTTTACAAATTAACAAGATCTCAAGTTCTTTAAATCTTGTACATAAACAGCGGGAAAGAGGGAGGGAGGGAGAGAGAAGGGGATGGAGTGGGAGGGAGAGGGGGAGGAAGAAGGAGAGGGCTGGGGAGAGGGAAAGGGAGAGAGAGAGAGAGAGAGTTGCAAAGTAAAAAGATAAAATTTTGCTAATATGCTTCATGGATAAAAAGAAGCAGAAAATAATGTTATATAAACATTACTCCGAAAATGTTTTGTTATCACACCAGATGTGAAATTATACAGGGTGTATCCTAAAAAGTGGGAAGTATTGCAATGAGAGATTCAGGACACAAAAATAAGAGAAAAAATTCATATAAACATATGTCCGATATGACCTTGTTTCCGAGTTACAGCCTGTTTTATTTTCCAATATTTCCAACTTTTCCGCATACAAAAGTCTAATTCTGACTGCATTATCATCGGAAAATCCGTATATGAAATGTATGTCTGCCATTTAATTGTTTGACCAAGCCATAATTTTTTTAAACGTAGACTATTGCGTTAATAACACTAACGTACGACACGAATACTTTACTTTCACTGAGCACAAGATACGGACCGTACTACTTACAATACAAATAATACGCGTTTATGTTTACAAATTAACAAGATCTCAAGTTCTTTAAATCTTGTACATAAACAGCAAACCGATATCCAAGTATGCTATCTTAACTCTATCGCAAAATAAAATAAGCTATAATTTGAAAACGAGGTCATATCGGACATATGTTTATATGAACTTTTTCTCTTATTTTTGTGTCCTGAATCCCTCATTGCAATACTTCCCACTTTTTAGGATACACCCTGTATATATAAAAGCGATATTATTTGCTACATTTTGTGATACATTACTTTTGATTACAAAAATAATAATTAAATTATAATAGTAATAATAAGTATTGTTTTGTGTTTTACTATTTGTAATAAAATCCGTAATATAATAGTGCTATTTTATATATTATACAAAATATTTATTTGGGAGAGGAACATAGTAGTGTAATTTTTTAATAAAAATAATATGCATTTTAATTATCTCGAGAAAATCTATAATATTTCTATAAATGTAAGATTGATTTTATAACAAATACTATTTCAAATCCTCACAAATTGAATTTCTTCTCACAATAAGTACTTAATTAACTATTGATTTCATATTTAGTTCTTATTTTTTAGGTGAAAATTATTGTTTAGTTTTTTATTTTTTATAGAAAAATTATTTTTCGAGGGAAAATTTTTAAAAAGTTCTTTTTTAGGGATTAAGTTATTTTTTAGAAGAAAATATTTGTTTAAACTTTTTATTGCGCACAAGTTGGGTTTTTTATGTATTTGGCGTACTTTTCTTACCTGTGTCAGGTTTTGTTTAGTAGAATATATAGGGTGAGTCATTTTAATCAATACACGCAAATATCTCGTAAAATAAGCAAGATGGAAAAAAATGTTTTATTTGAAAGTTGTAGGGTTCAGAGGGGGACACCTGATGGTGACCTTGATTCTGATCTTAGAGTCAAATTTAGGGGTTATTTTAAGGTCAACTTGATTTTCTTAAATGGAATTATCAATTTCTCATATCATATTCTTATAGCCCTTGTTGAGACCTTTTGAAAACTTTATAATAAAATATATATCTTTTGATTACAAAAATAAAAATTTAATTATTATATAATTTAATAATTTAATAATAAATAAGTAATAATAGTAATAATAAGTATTGTTTTGTATATCAATGTGCAATAAGGCAGTACTGTGTATCAATGCATTTTCCAAAGGTAACGACGCGTTGTTTCTTAACATTACATTGCATGTTTGCGGCCAAATAAATATTCTGAGGATACATTTCATCAACTTTGATGTTACAAGTCCGCGAATCAACGATCGTTTCAATGCGTTAATTCAAAGACATCGTTATCTGATAACGCTGACTAGAGAACTTGCTGATCTGATCAGTTTCATATTGCTGATGGAATTATTCATTATCAGCATATTATTATGTATAATGGGTGAATATTACGTTACTTATGATTTTTTAGAAAAATATATAAATTACACATTTTTAAAAGATATATTCAGCAAATATAACACAAATATTCTTTTCAGGATTTCAGTTTATGTTCGCGTTGAAAGTCAATAATACTGTTATGGTAGGAAAGAGTTTAATGGTACTGAGTGCTTTTATGACACAATTAACGCTGTATGGTTTTATCGGGAATTATCTGAAATCTGAAATGGAAGACATAGGGCTGTCTATTTATCAAAGTGCTTGGTACAATTTTCCTGAAAACTTAACAAAAAACGTAATTTTCATTCTTATGCAGACAAAATCTTCAGTCGCGTTGCAGGCTGGAAATTTCATTGTAGTCAATCTGTCAACTTATGTGAGCATTTTAAAAACCTCTTTTTCATATTTGTCCGTGCTTCGTATAATGCTCGAAGTGTGAAATAAAAGGTGCAAATAAAGGAGAGAGAAATCTGCAATTTGTAAATATTTAATGCGTTCGATATAGCACGACATGTTTTCAAAATAGAATTGCATGAAAAAATATTTATTAAAATGTCACGTGAATAAACTTAACATCCTCCATAATCTGCTTGTGCTATTTCAATTTTTCCTATTTAATATCAATAATACTACACACACTTGAAATTACTAGAAATTATTAGAAGAAGTGCAGCGTATTTGAGATACTGTTGATATTATAATTTGGAATACCACGAAAAATTGATGATTTTATATTGTCATTTATCAGCAAATATTGAAATTAGATAAAAATTCGTACAACAAAATATCTGAAAATGCCGCCAGGACTAATGTTCCATTATGACTGTGGCAAGCAAGTTTGTGTAGATTCGAAATTCAAAACTTTTTGGTAAGTATTAAATATCCCTTATTATTGTTATAGTACTTATAAGTAATTTTTATAATTGTTATAAGTTTATGCGTTAACTAGATTGTGTATAAATTAATTTTGACAATTGCCTCTAATTTTTGTGATTTATTAATGTATTTTTTTAAATTCAATTTTGACAAAATGGTGAATGTTTCTAATTTTGAATATCTAAGATGTTAATGTAATGTATGTAATGTATATAATATATGCTCCGAGTATCCATTGCTACATGGAACTTCTCAGCTAAAATGCAATGTATTTTTTCTGGAAAGGCGCTTTAGATATAACGTTTGAGATGAATCATAAATGATGTGCTTCATATGTAACCATTGGATGCACAATGAATGTGTTGACTTTGACAGCGACACTTATGTGTATGATTATTGTAAATTAAAAATAGGATAATTGCAAATATAAAAAAATATATTATAATATGGAATACATTATTCCAGATTATCGACACCTTTTGAATTTTAATCATTTAAGTGTTAGTTTAAGTTTTCGACTTTGATTTCTCTCTCCTAAAGAGTAAGAAATCTGTTAAGTTTTTGTTTTTTATAATAAATAATTTATTTATCTATTAAAAAGATATTTTAAATTCCACCAAAAAGCACAGATTTGGCCTCAAGATTATAAAATAAAACTGATAATTCAAATATGGTGCGCTTTCCTACTAATGCATTATCATATTTAAACAGTTTCTGACATGTAGAATTATCCATGTCGCGTTATTTTCTATCAGTTTTTTTATGTAGCCCCTGTAGAATAAAAAATAATAATTTATTTTCTCATATTTTCACTTTTAAATAGATCGAAGATATACTACTTATTGTTAGCCAAGCGAATATCGAGATAAAATATAGTACAATGTACGCGTATATAGGTGAAACGCACATGTTTCCACGCAATAAAAGAAATAGTTGCTTAATGGACGAAAGCAACTTAGAAATTGTATCATGTAAATTATTACTCAACGACAATTTTATGTAAGATCGTGGTATTTGCATTGAGTCATAATGCCTGAAGAGTATAGAGGCAGACTGATAAGCATCTATACTTTTCATGTTGAATAAAAAATGAGTTGGAACCTGCGTTGTGTCGATATAGCGAGCAGATCACCGGTTATTGGGATCAGTTCGAGTCATTGTCTCGACAATGGCAAGCAGACGATGGAAGGACGACATCGCATACGCGATGACCCCTTTCAAATTGATTTCTTGGCCCCTTGGCGTTTGGCCATTACAAGTCTATAACTTTTATTCATTATTACGCAGTATTTTGAGTATCTGTTTCTTGATATGCACTTTCATTTGAATGCGAACATGATGATCATTGACGTGCGATCGTTTGAAGATAACGTAGAATATTTTCTACATTGATCTTGAAACGCTTTAAAGAAAATTTCGGTATATTTGGATACTAATATTAAATATACAATTTTTGCATTTTTGACAACGTATATAGAGTGAAACGCTTTGCTCCAACATTAATAACTTAATGGATAAGTCATACAATATGTACAATCAATAACGATCGTAAGTTATTTAAAACTATTTAAAAAGAACTTCTTTCTTGAATTTTATAATTCATTTACATTTATTTTCTAATTCAGATGTTTAAAGATAACAAATTTTTTTTCGAGATATATTATATAGTAAATACATTAACTGTAGTAAAACACGTCTATAAATCTTGATCTTGATGTATATTGTCAAGATCTTGATCCTAAATAACATTTAAAAATTTTTCAACGTGTATATGTATGTACGTACATGTATGTAAAGATCTGTGTATTTGCTAAATGTCTGTATAAATTTGTATACGTAGTATTTAAATAGTATTTATATAAATTATAAATAATTTGAATTTTTCATTGGTAATATCTATATTTATATCTAGATACATGAACTTTAATGAATATTTATTTATTTATAATTTTTTAATAAACAAGGCGATAACTAACAAAGCTCACTTGTAGATTACTTAGGGTCATGATATTAACAATATATGTGAAAATCAAAATCATCTACAAGTGTTACATTAAAGTAAACGTGCTACTATGCCATATGTATATATATGTATATAGTAAATATGCATATTAGGTTACACCTCACCGATGACTTTGACCTTGACATATGTTGTCAAGGACATAAATTTTAGTTTTAAATCAGGAATAGGTTTGGGTTAGGTTATATTTTCCGGAAGTGGAGCCCCCCCGCAGGGGTGTCGTAACCCACTGCGTCCACGCATATACTTTCTCATCCATGCAACAATAGTGGGGCTGACTGTCTCTCTGTCTCATACATATGAGCTACACTATTTATTTTATAATTCTATCATTTATAATTATTAATTGTTATTATTGAGAGAAAACAAATTAAATAAATAGTATTGTAAGATTATAGACAACATAAAGTTGTTAAATTGTTGTGTTATGTTCTGCAGCGGGAAAAATATTTGTACAATTTTTATCACGTACATGTTATTTTATTAACTTTCTTTTATTAAGCATTATTTATATATTCCACATAAAAAATGAAAATACTTTCCCTGCAATTAATTTTATAGATAAAAAAAATTAATAGATAAATAGATAGATATATAAATAGATAGAGACATGATAAATAGGTAGAGACATGATAAATAGATAAAGAGATAGATAAATAGGTAAATAAATAGATGGAGACATAAATATAAAAAAGAGAAAGAATGGGAGAGAAAAAAATTATTATGCTTATACATTTGTATTTAAATATACATGCTTATACAAATCTGTCAAACTAAAATAAATATATCAACAGGACCTAGTGTTGATCTTACCTCTTATTGAATTATGTATGGGCTGTAATAGCGCGGAGAAGAACGTAGACTGCATTATATTAAGCTTTTGCGGAATACTTGGTATACTAAAAATAACATGGTTCCGCATTTATGCTAACAACTTAATTAACAGCTACAAATCAGCTGTAAACGATTATCTGACGATTGAGAATGTAGAAGAACGTATCATTATGCGAAAACATGCACTTGCAGCAAGAATTGTTTCATTTCCTCTGCTGATCTTCTCTTATTTTATTGCTATAATATACAGGGTGGTCCTCGTAACGGTCGCCACGATTTTTAAGGCACTTACAATAATCTGACATAAAAAAGTCATAAACAGAAATTTATCAGTTTTTAACCGGCAACAAATTGCAATAATAAAAATTGACCAAACATTTTTTTTCCATAAAAAAGCAAGGTCACCTTCAATTTTTTAAATGGAACTGCCTACTTTTTATTGCATATTCTTGTAGCTTATCTCGAGAGCTTTTCAAAACACTATAATAAAGTATTTTTTCATTAAGTACTTTTTGAGTTATTTTATATTTTAATCTGACATATTTTGATAAAAAAATTAAAATATCTCGTAAAATATTAGTAAAAAAAAATAATTGTTTTTAAGAAAAATTATGTAATTATTTACAATGTATTTTTTAAAACAATTATTTGTTTTTTTCTTTACACTAATTGATTTGTTTCATTATTCTGTACATAAAAGTATTACGTCAAGATTATCGAAAAGTAAATATTTTACGAGATATTTTATTTTTTATATCAAAATATGTCAGATTAAAATATAAAATAACTCAAAAAGTACCTAATGAAAAAATACTTTATTATAGTATTTTTGAAAAGCTCTCGAGATAAGCTACAAGAATATGCAATAAAAATGTGGCGTTCCGTTTAAGAAAACATCGATCACATTGACCTAACCTTGAAAAGATCACTCAAGGTCAAGTTTATATTTTTATCATATGGCCCCCTCGGAACCATAAAACTATTGTCTGAAACATTTTTTCCAATCTCTTTTACTTTAAGAGATATTCAGCTGCATCACTTAAAATGATACACCCTGTACACATGCACGCACGCACGCACGCACGCGTGTGTGTCCATAACACCGATTTTTAAACAAAATTTTCTAATACAACTTCGCATGACTGTATCTCATTAACTTTTGAATCAAATAATTTAAAGCTTGCATCACGTGTTGAGTATTGAGTTGTGAATAACTCCCTAAAATGGTAGCACAAACGAATCAAACATTCGGAAATGCAAAGCGAGTTTCGAAACTTAATTGTTCGACAGTGTATATGATATATTACATAAATACATATATAATAAATAATATAAATATAATTACTGTAATATATTTGTTCGGGATTGAGCGAAACGCAAAAGCGCGACAGAGAGAGGAGACAGACGCACTCGTAATTGCCGCACTCCATGACGTAACGCAATAGCGTTAGCAACGGATACGCGTAACTAAGGAGCGCGACGTTTTGTCTCAGGAACGTCCGTATATAAGAATGTCTAAATATAATAATAAGACGATACTTTTCTATAAATAAAAGTTTTTCTTCAATATTTTATATCAATGAAATATAAAATATTGAAGGAAAACTTTTAATTTTGATAATTTTCGCGGTGCATTTAGAAAAGTATTGTCTTACTATTATATTTGGACATTCTTATATACGGACGCTCCTGAGACAAAGCGTCGCGCT